TTGTTGCTGCCGACAGAGCTGACAGTGTCAAGAGGTAGGTTCCTCGTTGTCTAGCAACACTAAGTCCCCAACCTCAAATCTTCCTTGTTTGTCTGAGTACTCCTTTTGTTTATCTTGGGCCGCTGCCATGGCATCGCGGACCCTGCTGACAATGTTCAGCTTGGTGTCCATAAGGGATTCCACCTGTTTCCGCAGCGAAACTGGTCTCACATCCGAGACCATGGAGGAAAGGGCTTTCCGAGCCTCTCCCCCACTTAGAATAGAGGAGTCAGTGTCTCCTCGAAGAGTGAGAGGCACTCTGGGGTGGCGGAAGCCGTTCAAGTAGAACGGCGTGAACCCCGTGGACGCGTGCACTGCGTTGTTGAGCGCAAACTCAACAACTGAAAGCTGCGTCGACCACGTACGTGGTGCTGCCGCGCACACACTGCGCAGAGTGTCCTCGAGCACTCGATTGACGCGCTCTGTCTGGCCGTCTGTCTGCGGATGATCCGCAGTGGACATCTGCAGACGAGTTCCCAGTAAAGAAAACAGCGTTTTCCAAAACGCAGCAGTGAACCGCGGGTCTCGGTCCGAGACAATCGTCTCCAGGAGACCGTGATAGCGGAACACGCCATCAACGAACAACCTTGCGGTTTGTTCGCCCGTAACAGTGACGGGAACTGGGGCAAGATGTATCATCTTGCTCAGCCGACACACGAACACCAAAATTCCGGTGTTGCCGTGTCCGTCAGCGGGAAGCCCAAAGATGAAGTCAAGACTCATCGACTTCCAACAGTCAGCCGGTACGGGCAGGCTCTGTAGTGGAGCCAAAGAGTGCCCTGCGGGTTTGACGCGCCTCCGCGAGGATGTCGAACTTTAGATCCTCGTCGTTGGGTACGACCACCCGTGGAGGATCAGTGGGCTCCACCCGGTAATAGAGGAGGCCCTCCTTCAACTTATATCGGTGGAGCCGTGAGCGCTGTCGCGACGAGAGCCAGTCGGACTTCGCGCTCGTTCCGGCCTTAAGAAACTTGACGATAGTCGCGACAGCCTCATCGTCCCGATACGCCATGCGTATCCGATCATATAGATCCGCTGTCACCCGCGTGATGTGGACCAACTCATAGTCGGGACGCCGAGAGAGGGCGTCCGCAAGCACGTTGAGCTTGCCCGGCTTGTATTCGCCATTCTTTGAGAGAGGTGATGCGAGTTAGTCGCCGTCCTCAAGGACGCGTGGTCTGTGTAGATCACAAAGGGCCTAGAGCCCAGAAGGTGAACACGGAACTTTACAAGGGCATATTTCATTGCCAGGAGCACCTTGTCATGGACAGGGTAGTTCCGCTCGGCGGCTTTGAGCTGCCTGGACTGGAACGAGATGACTCGTTCGTGTCCAGCCGTGTCGGCCTGCAGCAATGCACATCCGATGGCGTAATCGGAGGCATCGCAGACGACGCTAAACGACTTCGTCTCGTCCGGCAGGGCCAGAACAGGGGCCTCTTGGAGACTGGACTTGATGCTGTCAAAAGCATCCTGGTGCTCTTGCTCCCAGCGCCAGTCGACGTCCTTCTGAAGGAGACTCGACAAGGGCTTAGCGAAGCCCGCGTACCCTGCGCTGTACTTGTGAAGGTAGTTGGCCAAGCCCAACCACGTTCGAAGATCCTTCTGGGATCGGGGCGTCGGCCATGGTGCTATGGCCTTGACCTTGTCTGGGTCAGCTCGAACGCCCACGTTGCTTACGAAGCAACCGAGAACTTTAATCTCTGGTGACGCGAAAACGCACTTGTCGATGTTGGCGTAGAGCTTGTTTTCTCGCATTACGTCCAACACTCGACGGAGGTGACCTAGATGCACCTCCATGGCCGTCTTGCCTCCCTCGGCACGGCTATGGACGAATATGTCGTCGAAGTACGTCTGTACGAAGGTACGCAAAGGGCGGAACAATTGCGTCACCAGGCGATTGAACGTCGCCGGGGCGTTAGACAAGCCCTGCGGCATGACGAGCCACTCCCAAAGCATGCCGCTTGGAGTGCTTTCCACGGTGAGCGGGATGTCGCTTTCTCGCATCAGGATTTGGTAGTATCCGTCTACCAAATCCAGCGCACTGTACAGTACGCTCCCGGCCATGTTGTTCAACAACACATCCTTTCGTGGGATTGGTGTTTGGGCCGGCACCGTTGCGTTGTTCAGCTTGTTATAAGCGTGAACCAGACGCCACTTTCCGTTCGGCTTACGAACGCAGAAAGCGGCGTCGAGTGCGGGGATTTCGACTCCCGCACCATGCCTGCCTTCGCTTTCGCGGCGAAGAAGGCATCAATGACCTCGCACTGTTCGCGCGGGAGAGGCCATTGCCTCGTGACACAATACTTTGTGCCGGGCACGAGATCAATCTCGTGCCGTACACCTCGATCCGGTGGGAGTTGGGTCGGTGGGTGTATGTTCACCACGTCCGCATACTCCGTCACACAAGGATACACAGGATCCTTGGGGTTCTTGAGAATCTCAGAACCCAAGCGCGCCTGACGCTGCTTGTTCATGTCTTCCAGGACGTTCTCGTCCAAGACAGAGGAGGAGTTCAGCTCCTCCTGAGTGGTCTCAGGTCTCATGAGTACCATCTCAGCAATTTCGCCAGCCTTGAGGTTGGTCAGGAAAGACTCAGCCGTCATTTCCTCGAGGTGCAGTATCTCTGCAACCTCTGGCAACGGTTCCAAGTGGACACCAGATGTCTTGACGGGTAAACCAGTCTCGCCATCGAAGATGTGATAACACTCTTCCACCTGCCTTGTCGGAGGAGCCCGGGCCCTGGACTCCGAGTCGCTTGAAGCGACGTCGATCGGAACGAAGTTCGGATCCGACTTGAGGTGGCGGCGGCGTCTTTGCCGACGGCGTCTGTGACGGGGAGCTTTGCTGCCCACGTCTAGGGATGTCGTCGCTACGACATCCGAGGCACTCGTGGTCTCGTGTGGTACTGTTGTACCCACACAGGAAGCGTGTTCAACGCCTTCCTCTTCAGTTAAGGTCTGGGCGACCGCGTGTGGCACTGTGTTACCCACACAGGAAGCGTGTTCAACGCCTTCCTCTTCAGCTAAGGTCTGGGCGACCGTGAGTGGAACTATGTTACCCACTCTGAGCACGCTGTTCTCAGTGTTCATGACAGCTGCAGCTGTCTGCGGAACTAAGTTACCCGCCTGTGGACCTAAGTTACCCACTTGGCCGGCGCCTCTTCGGGGCGCGGCCACCATCAAAACATCCTCGGAGTCGTCATATACGTCGGCGACTCCCAAGCATCTGCCGGATGCTTTGGTACCCTGGCAGCCCTCGCGGGCGCCCCGGGTCCTGACAGAGGTGGGAACATGACTCACCAATGCTCTGTCGGACTGCGCAGGGCGGCTGGCACCGATTGCCTTGCCTCGCCAGTCGATCCAGGGCTCGTGCTTCTCAAGCCAGGGCATGCTCAGGATCATATCATATGGATCCATATCGAGAACAGTGAACTGTTCAAGGCTGTCAACGTCTTCAAACTTGACGGCCAGATCCACTTGGACGTTGGGGACAGTGGCGACCTTCCCGTCGGCCAGTCGCACTGACACCGTCCCGTTGCCCTTGCTTTCTCTTAAAGCATCGGACAACTTGTTGCTGTTACGAGCAACCGTCTGGCGGCGTGCAAAATTCTTCGACGCCCCAGAGTCGATCAATATTCTAAAGGGATGATCGTATCCCCGTACACATCCGTGTACTACGAGCAACCCGCCGCTGCTCTTCGCCGATTCGAGAGTGCGAAGACTCTCAGGGGCTAAGTCCCCGTGGTACGCGCCACCCGCGCACCCATCACGAAGACTTAGTTCTTCCCCAGTGGGGCGCCCCGCCCCTACTAATTCCCTGCGTTCCCCTGTCCCCAGGATCCTGGCTTCTGCCAGCGACCCTTGAGGACGGGCTTGGGGAAGGACCGTCTGCGGAGTCTTTCCGCGGGACAGTCGCGCTTGAAGTGGCCCATCTTCCCACAGCCGAAGCAGCGGATGTCACGCTGTTCGGCGGACCCGAGTTCCATGGGAACTGGTCCGTTGGGGCTTGTTCGACCGGGAGCCGACAAGGAGCTCCCAGGCCACGCTGAGGCCGGCGTACGCGCCTGGCGATGGCTGTACTCTTCTTGAAGAGCCACTTGAATCGCCTCTTCAAGGGTGCTTGCCTGCACCCGGAACAGCTGAGTGCGTGCGGGGCCCACTCGAAGGCCGTCCATGAACACAGTCATCTTGATGTGTTCATTGAGTGGGTTTCCCACTAGGGACGCCGTGAGCTCCCGTATCTCTTGCACATACTCGTGCAGTTTGCGCCTTCCTTGTTTACACGCGAGGAAGCGCGAACGCTGGCGGTACTCGTAGCTCGCCGGGAGGAACGCGGCTCGGAGCTGTTCGCACAGCTGAGCCCAGGATGTGAAACATCCAGGGGATGTTGCTTCCCGTGTGTACACCCAACTCTTAGCACGGCCGCTAAGATTGGAGAGTGCAAAAGCAACACGCAGTTTCTCGGTCGAGATCAGAGCCGCGTCCATCGCGAGCTCTACTTCTCGGACCCAGAAGTGAAGGTTCTCGCCTTCCTTCCCTTCGTACGGCTTAACCGGCAGCCGTATTGGCTTCGGGTGAGGCGGATTTGCTTCCGCCGCTGGAGCCTGCAGGTTCTCCCGCACATGCGCGATGAGGCCCTGCTCGTACGCGTCGAATGCATTGACGCGCTCGAGCTGCTCAGCCGGTGTTGATACCACCAGGCTCTGCAGGGCCTCCATCCCGAAGATGCCTGCCATCTTCCGAACCGACTCGAACTGAGAGTCGTTCATATGGGAGAAGTCGTTCCTATCCATGGCAACGAAGTTCGGAGAGGTTCAGGTAGTCTACCCGCGGTGGCGTGGATTGACTACGAGTGCTACCAAGTGTGACGGGGTCACACAGCACCTTGCGCTAGAGGAAGTTATCCTCCGAGAAAATACAAACTCTCAGTGAACGGCAGTTCACAGGTCCCCTCTTTAATTAAAGAGAGCGAAGTGACCTAAATAAGGTAGATTGTAAACTGAGTATATTTATAGGTAGGTTAAGTTTGGGTTTAATACAAACTATTAGTTACCTATAGAAATGCAATGTCATTTAACCAATGGCTGGCTTTGAACGACCTTGGTACCTTGTACCAAATATCCCGGAGTATGACGTGTCATACTCCTGAAGTGTGAAGTGCCTCACTTCATGTAACCAGGGTACACCTAGGGCTACGGACCCAGTTACAGTACATCACCTGCTGCTGCACAGGGTAAATCATGATCTCCACTCTAAGTAAGTATTTAACTGGGCCAAGCTTTGTCAATTCAAACTGACGAGAGAGCTGTTGTGCAATGCTGCTGCAAAGAAGTCGAGATCCCATCTTGATCAACGAGAGCAGAAACAAACCGCATGCCTTAAACCCTCTCACAGAAACAAATCGCTTGCCTTAAATCCTTTTATAATGTAAGAACGTTGTCGCCATCGATTCAGTCGCTTCCCGCTACCAGCTCTGGCCTCAACAGCACTTTCAACCACAACACCCAACGCATAAATTTGCATGGATTTCGTACTTATTCCAATTCTTACGAACGACAAGAAAGAGCGCAAAATACCCCTCCTACTGGCTAAAACTAATGTGCCCTCAAATTAACAAAAGTCTCGAATTGACCGTTTGCCTTACCCCTAATGATGTGCTGCTAATATTTCTGTAACGTTTGTACAGATCAAATTGAAAAGTATCTTTTTCTGGCACTTTGAGAATATTAACCCTTTCGTGCGGGTACTGAAAAACTAATAGCGAAGCATCCACCCTTAAGTATTGTAATCCAGAGCTCCTCCGTGAAACGCGTTTTTTTAATGATTAGGAGCATGGCGGTCACGAAAAGATCTTCTTCTGCAGGTGTCGCTACAACTTGACCTCTTACGACTGGCATCTGTAGACACGCTTACACCTAGGCTGCAATGGCAGGTAGGCCAGCTCAAACTCCTTAAGAAGGCGCTTTCTCCTTAAGAAGAAGTACAGAAAGTACGTAGTAGGTGTCATCGGTGAAGTTGCTCAGCATTGTTGGTGAAACTTCCAGTCACGACCAACTTCGTGTGTTGCTACAAAGGTCGCGTCAACTCGAGTCCATGCTGTAGAGAGGTTAACTGAAGTGCCAAGGTGCCGCGCTTTAACATATTAATGTCAGTAAAGCTGCTGAATGACACGTGGGCCTTCGTTGTCCACTGGAAAAGAGTTATTGCAGTAAATTGGGTCGCCACCAATAAATTATGACGTAATTTTACTTGAAATTATATTTATTTTATTCACTGATTCCGAACTCTGATCGAAAGGACAATTTTATCATTTAAATCGGTGTGTAAACACTTTCTTCTAGTGTAATTCTATAAGTGACAGGGTGCACGGGCATCGTCGATGTCGAAGTAGTCAAGAATACATTGCTGTTGCATGCAGAATTGATGCTTGAAGATCGTCTGGCCCACTGAAAACGATTTCAGCTGTTATTGACGGATAATGACATAACGTGATTGAGTAGGTTTAATTTTTGTGGTGTGACACTTCCCTAACTAGGATATTTTGCCTTAAATTTTTAAAAGGGTTAAAAAGGCTAAAATTACCCCTTTCACTACCAGCTAAATGAGGCACAGTAACCCTTTGAACCCTCAGAGTGGTATTCGCTTGGAGAGTTAATAATTGAAGGTACCATTGTGCTTTTCAATGATTTTGCCCCTTTCACTCCTATTCATAGATTTAATCTAAAACTCTTCATGAGGCGGAAAGATAATGGCATTCGGCATCGACGTGATAAGTGCCAACGCAGCAGCAAGTACTTCCTGCTCTGGAACTGTTGTTCTTGATGCACGCGCTCCAGCCAACAAACATACAATTCACTAGAAGTGAACGCCGTCGCTTGCGGAGAGACGTTGAGGGTGAGACGAAACTAAACTGTTTTAGACCAAGTATAACCAACAAATTGGTTTGAAATCCAAATTTTCATAAAAGACCATTCCTTGCTGTTCGACTTCCTAGACGTACTGCTTATGTACATTTATTCCTGTGCCTGAAATTTGTGACGGCAAACACGGCAATTTGGACTCAGGATCACGATCACAGCAACGACACATTGACAACTCAAGCTTTATAGCAGTGAATTTACTAGACGACACACATTGGATGACTTCTGTGAACGATGGGACAACTATTTCTCAGTACATCTAGTTGCGACGAGAACACTTGACGCTAGAGGGTGTAGTGGCAGTCTCAGTGGCTGGATTAGTCTCGTCCGATGTCGTCGTGGGAGGAGCTGTAGCTGCGGTTTGGGTCTCATCGACATACGTGGAAGCCTCACCGGCAATCTCCTTCGACTCTGACGTGTCCGTCGTGGAAGTGCTAGGCGTACTGGTGCCGGTAGTACCTGTCGAAGGAGACGCGTTGGAGGACGGCGCAGTGGAAACAGTCGGCGTCGAACTCGAGCTAGAGGCGTCAGCGACAGTCGATGCACCTGCGCCAACTGGTGAAGGAGGTGCGCCCTTGCCTACGCCTCCCTCTATCCACACACAGTCCGTGTACTCTTGCCACGGGTCTCCGTGTAGAGCGAGCCAGTAGATCGTCAGGCGGTTGGCTTTAGCGCACTTGGCTTCATCGTACGGAATCTTGGCTGGTATGGCTGAGTATTTCGTCTGGCAGTCATAGTCGGACAACACTTTGGTGTCGTCGCACCAGACTTCGCACGGACCCGTGTGGGTAAATCCAGTGTGCTCGAGCTGCGACGCTGGTAGTTTCGATCGCGCCGAATCTTTGTATACGGTCAGACCGCAATCAGGGTCCGTCTTGCTGCTGTAGAGCTCCTGGTTCTTGGCGATGAACGCGCCCAACGACTTGTATCCCTTTGTCGGAAACGTAGCTTTGAAGAAGTTCAACGTACCGTTCACGCCGAAGCCGTACTTCGAGTTATCATAGACGCCCCAGATCTCGTTGTCGACGGTACTGCCGTAGCCATTGTTCGGGTAGCCGTCGGCCCACTGCGCGGCAGGGTCGACAATGTAGCCGTGACTCTGAACAGCCGGCATTGACGCCAGAACAGCGACACCTGTCGCGATGAGAGCAAATACCTGCATATTCCTGCTGATCTGTGGTGTTCAGTGCGCTGAAGACGACGAATTTAAAGTGAAGGAGGCAACAGGCATTGCACCGGGACAGTATTGAATACGAAGGGCGGGGCATGATGATAAGTCAGTGCAGAAGCGATCCGATTGGTGTTGCCCTCCTGCCATTCAGCTGGAAGGGTGCTTACCGAAGAAGACGTAAAGGGTCATTTCTACAGAAGTAGGGCAAAGTACAAAGCAAACACGAGCGACCAGGTGACGGGGTGGGATTTCCCGATGGCAGCAATGATTTTACACCTCTTGATACTGTGTGCCTGACCTTCCAAGTGTATTCGCACTGTTACTCAGATCCGGCTGGCGGTCGCGCAAAATAACATGTATTACCGAAATTCCTTTCTCAAAGGGCGCACTGATTACTACTTCGTAAATGACAATTGAGGAGGCAGTGATTTGAAATACAGGAGCATAGGAGGTACAGACATTAAAGTTCAATTTACCGGTACACCAAATTCCTTCTACCATATACTACCTGTATCGACAGCATTAGACTCAGTAGGTTCACCTACTGCATGTAGCACAACATCTGCAGGCGTCAAGTAGTAGTTTCTCTCGTACTTTAATAGTTAGTTTATCTCCAGATATTCAAGTTCCGAATTGTACAAGTACTGTACGAAAACACATTCACGATGCTCACATTTATAGCACCACGTTTTTGGTGGTGCTGAAAAGGCAGCTACAGTACCTCCACTCACATGAAGCAAGTCTCGTAGCTAACCGCATATTAGTAACTGACATCCAGATTTGTCTTGTTTTCACTAACGAGACCACTTTTTAACATCAAGATTTGTGATTGTAGCTGTATATGGATGAATATCATCACTTATCGGACCTCACTAAGGCTTATTATTATCGGACCTCACTAAGGCTTATTATCAGTTTTAATGGCCAATCATATATTTATTTGCTTTGGATAGCCAATCATATCCAAATAATGTGTCAGTCTTGGCCAATCAATCTGTCGAGGGTTAGGTTGGTCATCTAAACTCCACATCGGACGTATTAGGTCCGATGGGCACGGAAAATATGTGTATCCCTTTACAAATATTATGATGTCGGCGTATCACACGCATATTTTCATTTTATCCGACCGGCGTAATCATTTCAGTACAATTGACTCCATAAGCGCTTCTAAATTTTGTTGTATTTATACCGTAGCAATGTCGTGAAAGCGCTTAAATGGCGACATGATTAAGAGCCTCTGTGATGGCGAGATGCAGTAGCTACAGTTGTAGCTTCTACACTGCACATTCTTATTATTGTACCCGTTTTTAAATAGACGTTGATAATTTACGTCAATTACTCGGATATACTTTACATTATTTAACGCTCGCTAGCCACACACAACTACTATTAGCATCTAGCTCTCATCGACACGACCAGCGGTAGCTAGGTGGCCTGACGAAACCACCGGAGTCCGCCCTTCGAAGTGCCACATGAAGGCACGCACCCAACGGGCAGCCTGCCGCCCGCCCTGCCGGGTAAGACATCACAGCCCTTGACGCTTCGCCCGCTGCTGATATCCCCTTCGCTTCTTCAGTCTTTGAGCTCCTTCCTGTCCTTGCTGCCGCCATTCTTGTCGCCGCCGCCACCCTCCTGCTGCATGCCGTCGTCGCCACCCTCCTGTCACACGTGCCGACGCCGTCATCGCCCCTCGCCGTCTTCCTCCCCGCCTTCTGCAAAATAATAGTGTTTAGTGTGTGGGCCACAATATCTAATCCATAAACTAATAAATTGGTTTTGAGGGTTTTCAAATAGCGTACCCTAGTTTTGGTACAGGTCCGATAAGGTCATCCGGTCCGATAAATTTTGGTATGGTTGCTTACAAACACCAAGCGAATAAATAATTTGCCAACAACCCAGAATCTGAAGAGCCGGTAGATCAGCGTTTCTTCAAGTGTGCCCTTTGAGAAACGATTATCCTGGTCTCAGATTTCTGTGGTTTCATTGGCTAACACTTCTTTCTTGAGATTTGGAAGGTGTGCCCTTTGAGATAGGAATGTCGGTATGCCTCGACATCGCATAAGCTCGCTGTCTGAAACTTCCATTTCAAGCCAAAGGCGGTCAGTAACCGGGTCACCCCCAGCTCTGTTGTGCAGAGTGTGCCTGAGTAAAAGAGCGAGTCGTCAGCATTCATGTCGGAGCATCGTCGACGCCAGGGTTGTCAACGGTGGGTTTTCAAATTCGACTCGATGCCTGCCTAGCGTTTTTGAATCCGTGCTCGAGATCCGTTTCCGTCGCCTTAATCTGATCGGATCAAGACTCTCAATGCTTGTCATCTGGTCGGTCACCAGCTTATGCATGCAGAGGACAGATCGATTGCGTGGTTTTTAACCATGACAGAGTATAGCGTTGGAGCCCATTACAGTACATTTTAACTCACGAAGCTAGCTCGATGTCTTAAGCTGTGAAATATACTTTGGCTGGCGTAGCGATTCCGGATGTGGTCGAGGCGAAGCGGTTATCCGTCGAGAAGCCTCATTGAGAAGGCAACGTCGACGAGCAATTTCCATAAATCCGTAGTAGGTACAGTGGTCACGGTAATTAATCTAAGTTGATAAATAATCTCATACACTAAATATTCTCACTCAAGTTTGTTGAGAATAATTCACGTGAACAAATTTTTCCAGAGTTCATTTATAATCTCAGTTGTGGGTGATATCTTGTACTCACTATCGGGTTTGCTTATGGTGCAGTGGTTAATGATCGCCCTAGCCAATCGCTGCATTGTGAGTTCAAGTGCCGCAGCAGCAGTGCATCGGGTGTCAATTGTCCCTTTTAGAGTTAGGTCTGTGGCGATGTATGTTCTGTGGAATGTTCTGATCCAATAATTGGCATCCGTTGGTTGCTCGGCTGTAAACACTGATGTTCGTACTTAAGAAAAGTTTCACTGTTTCTATTTACCAATTGGCTGTGGCTCTAAATTATATGACTGCACGTACTTGTGTCTAATCCTTCTTTATTTCATGATGTTTTTTTTTTAATAATTCTCTCTGCCACTGTACAGTCCAGTGACATTCCAACAACTGAAACTTTATCTTCAGGTATAATTTATGCAGACATGTAGATGTGAGATTAATTTCAGGGCTACATAAAATAATAGCAATGAGATTTATTTTACCAAACACTATTTAATGGGAGTTCATTAATACTCTCACGGAGATCAATTGCTGTGTGAAATAAAACAATTACTCCACACAAAATAATTTCAATGAGATTCATTACCGTGACCACTGTACTGAGATTTGGCAAATAGATGTGTGAGCTATCAAAAATCAGTACTACTTAAATGTAGCTTTATTTAGATTGAGAAAAAAGTAACGGTTCACCCCGCAGCTTTCACGCCCCCTAACATTTTTGTGTGTACCCCAGTCCGCAGCGCTCCCGCCGTTCGTATTGCTGGATGTGTCACTCGCGTACACTAAATCTACATTGCTCTAAAAACTACTTTTGTAAATTTCATTTTTGAAATTTAGATGTTACTTCGGTTACTTCACTCCGTTTTGATGTGGTTTAAACTACCGCTAATTAGGATTGGCAAAAGTGTACTGTAGATACAAAGCCACGACAAGGCTCTGGATTCTGTCAGCAAAAAACAAACTGTAAGAAAACATATTGCTCTTTTGTTTAGTACATGTATTGTAAAATAATGCCCACGCCCGTAGTTTAAGCGTAATTATAAACAGTACGTATAGTAATATCAGCAAAAGGTGCGTAATTTATGTTTGTACAACGCTTAAAAAATCAAAGCTCTACTCGTCGATCATCCAACCACGTGGGTGTGGCCCTGTTGGCTCCATGCTGTATACCACTCGAAATTTTGCGCAAGGGTAATATTATAATTATGTCGACACAAAGCATGCAACTAATTTTCTAGCTGCAAAAGCAGTGCTCGAAAGTATGTCACTCGACCGCAGAAAACCTTTTTCGGTGTACATGGCGGGGTGGTGGTGCCTCCCAAAAGATCTGAGCGCTGGTTGCCTGCTGGGAGAGTGGCAGAGTGTATCGAATAGCCTATAATATTGAGATAGAGAGATATCACTTTAGAGATTGATATTAAATAATACAGGGGCTCTCTCAAGCAGCTGTTTGGCTGGGAGCAGTTGGTCGGGGAGACAAGCACACTTTGCTTTCTTCCCGCCAGCCTCAAGACTCTCATCGTTCTCCTCTTCCTCCGACAAGGGGTCAGTTTGCTACACTGTAGCACTTGTTGGTCTAGACTCGACGGCCATGGCCCCCGCGACGCGCAAGAACGACCAAGACGCGCCACCGGGAGGAGCGAGACAAGCGGAGCTGGAAGCGCACCTCACACAGCTACTTGCCGAGATTACAACCCTCCAAGCCAACAATCAAGCACGGCGTCAGCCGCCGATAAAGTCCAAGGCTCGCGTTCTGAGCGGCCTGCCGAAGTTCAGGGAGAAGCGCGACGACGATGTGCGCCAGTGGCTCTTCTACGTGGAGACCATGTGCCGAATCAACGGTCACGACGCGACGAACGACAACTACACGCTGCCTTCGATTGCTGGGACGGCGATGGAGGAACCTGCGTCAGGATGGTTCCTATTCTGGAACACCCGCGGATATGCAGACGTGGCGCGGTTCACGGATGATGCCCTCGCTCCTTTCGGAGCCTTCAACTATCAAGCGGAGCTACGACAGAAGCTGCGTGAACTCCGTCAGATCAATGCCATCGAAGAGTACAATGGAAAGTATTTGTTGTTAATCTTCCGCGTTGAGGACATGGGCGAATTCGACCAAGTCAGCTACTATTGTGACGGTCTCAAGCGTGCGACTCAAGCCTAGGTTAAGCTTCAAAACGCGACGACGCTGAGTGAGGCGATGGACGATGCTACCAAGTATGAGATGTCTCATTTCGGTGGCGAGCGTAAACCGACCCGTGAGAAGCCGGAGCGTGAGCAACGGTCCCGCGGACGAGCACTCTCTAACCAGTCCAA